AGTGCTGGTGGCTTCCCTTGTTTTTCTGGCTCTTAAGGTCTGATCAACAAGCACATTTGCTGCCTTGCCTTAGCACCTGATATAGAAACGAGGACATGGACCTCAACTGACTCTTCAGTTTACCCATGATGTGGGAAAAAAAACCTAAAATAACAACAAACAAATTTGGTTGTGGCCTACAGGTTCTTATACAAGAAGATAGCAGCCATCCTTCAGCAGAGCCATTCCTTTTGCAGGTAAAGATGGAAAGTCTGAGAAGAAATGTGGCCCAAGACAGCAAAGGGAAAGCAATGTCCATGTCTATGCTGCACTAAGTTTTGAATTCCAAACTGGACACCGAAGAAAAAAAGGAAAAAAAAATTAATCAAACAAACCAAACACTGTCTCTAATTGGAATTACAGGCATAATGAAGAGTGACCATCTCTCTGTGATGATGGTATTACACACTGCCTTTATTCATCATGGCCCCTTAGGGCTGACCCTATCAAGTAACTTTCCAGTCCAGGATTTAGGCTGGTGCAAAGACAAGCAGCCAGCTTGAGGACGGCCACTTGAGGATGGTGAGAGTTTAATGGCATGGATTGGGCCAGACTGTGCTCCCAGGCCTGCAGACCACAGAGCAGGTCCTGACAGTGGCAGGCACACCTAGGCTGGTTCATTAAACTAGACACAGCCCTAAAGACCAGCTCCAGCAAAGATCTGAGGCATGGAAGCAAACCCGCGTTGACAGGCGGACGAACAACCATAATTTTAGACTTGTCTCCCGTGAGCAACAGCAGCAAGCGCGAGCACCACGTGCAGGGTCTGAAGCGCAACTCAACGGCCAAGCCCCAAAGCGATGGAAATATAAGAGAGATTCCCAGGATAAGACAATCTTCCTTTTGAAAAAAAAGCACAAGGAAAGCAATTCTGGGATTTCTGAAGTTCTGTCCATTTCTAGGTCACGAGGTCCCACTGGCACCATGAAGCATGATACCAGAGCCCATTCCAACCACACTAAGTGAGCATGACTATAAGGGCAGTGAGGAATTTACTCACTCTTTTGCCAAAGAATAAGCAATATTATCCTCTGCCCAGAAAAATAATCAAGTCTGATTTTCAAAAAAGTGTACAATGTGTAATTAATTGCGAAAATAAATAACAAGTTAACGTCTAAAAGCATTACAAGTCAGCAGCCAATCTGTGGCACACAAACTCCTTTTCTCTCTTAATTTTCATTCCTCCTCTATCAAATGCTGCAAGGCATTCATAAGTCTCACTTTATGCCTAATGACACCACAGAGTCTGCAGTAAACGCACACCCTCGCATCCTCTCACCGACTGAGCCACTGTGAATCCGGGTGGGCTTTGGACAACCACCACCAACCACAACGCACGCGACAGCATCCAAGGTGCGCTAATGTTATATCCCAACTATACCAATACGCTATCCAGGAGCCTTAACACTCCAGACAACCTCATTTCCAGCAGTGCGGGGATGCCCTCTGCTGGGATAACCCACCACTGGAGGTATTACTGATGCTCTAGACCATTCCTCACGTACTTCAGTCCCAAACTGCTGGAGCTCCAGCTCCTTGCGCGCTGTCCCACTGCCTCCGTCCCCAGCTGCCACTGCCTTGTCTTCCCCTGTGCTTGGCTGTCTTTTTTGCTGCATTACCAGGAGCAAACCAAGCTAAGAAGGCTGGGTGGATCCAGGAGCCTCGGCCTGGATGCCCTGGGCTCTTCCCTTTTCAAGGGAGTAACACAGAGGCACCCCGAGGCCTTCCCAAAGCCGGCCAGGTCCCAGAGACTGCGTTTTCCTGGGTCCTGTCCTGCTCCTCACCCAGAGCAGTCTCACATCTCTGCAGTCATGGAGCGCTGCTCCACTGTGACAATCTTCCACACTTCCAATTCGAGGCCCTCTAACGATTTTCCAGGAGAAAAGCCGATCAGCAGCATTTCTCCTGCTACCTGTAATTCCCCTAGGTTTTGATCATGCAATTCTTTACCTCCTTCCATGCCTGTAACTGAGCTCGTGTGAATGACACTGGGCTAAACCCCCACCTGCTGCAAGCCTTGACTTCAAGGGAGTTCTGTCAAGTCACAATATCAAAGGCTCCATCTACTTAGCTTCAAAAGAATTAATCATGCAAATACAGTAAAGCATGTGCATATTTGCCAGGTCAAGACCCTATTTGCCTTTAACGATTAACATTCAACATGCAATGAAAGAGAGTCAGGAATGGATTGAGTTTTTTATGTTATTTTTTGTACTAGAAACAGGTAAGGGGGTGGAATATGATCAAAAATAGATAGAAGGTTAAGAAAACCACCAGGAAGTTCAAAGTGAAAGCTTGAAGTTTGCTGTTAATCCCTCAATTTTTATGCCTGTGCCTTGCATCCTTCTTTCATGAAAGCCTCATGCATAAAGTACACACACCAAAATGCCTGTAGGATATGAGCTTGGGAGTCTCAAATGTGCATTATAGAATTTGATCCCCCTCAGCATTAATGGGATTTGATACCTCCGTTCAGTGCCCCATTTCTGACCTCAAACTTGTCTTCACAGCTTCTTACTCACAGCAAGGGGTTCAGGCGAGTGGAGGCCTCAGATAAAGCCAGCTCAATCCCTCTGGCCAGCCAACGTACAGCAGTGAAAAGTGCTCTTCATTTTACAGTATTTCATACAAATGGCTGTATTTTCTTTAATTTTCTTAGGTTCTTAACATTGTCAGAAAATAGAGCTAAAACAGCATCATCTGCTAAAACAACTATCAGCCAACCTTTCACTTGCACCCAGCTAAGCTCTAACAGAATCAAGGCTGCTTGGTGACCTTGTGGACATGTGTTATGGTACATCTTAGTTACACGACCACATGCTATTCTTCCCACCTGCTTTACCCAGCAGAAGAGCAAACACTCAAATAATTCTTTTTCACTAACATGAATTCTTAGTGGCTCCCAAATCAATTGCTACATTGAGCAGGGAGTATTTCTCCCCACTTTACATCACAGACAATTCTTCCTGTCCTGGACTGGATGGTCAGCATAAGGAGGAATTTATCTTCACCAGTGCAGTCAGGAAATATCAACCTCAACTTACAGATTTTTAGGCCCAAAGAAACGTGAACACATGGAAACAAGGCGTGATCAATACTTGGACGTATACCCAGCCACGTACATACACTCCCTCATTTCAGAGGAGAAAGAAAGGTCCATAGTAAAACCCTCCTAAAAAATTGCTGTGTCTGTCAAACAGAAGCCTGGATTTGAAAAAGAAAAAGCTCAATATTTAAATGTCACCTTGTAGTGGTCCCTCTAATGCAGCATGAAAGATCACAGAATCAGAGAATGGTTGAGGTTGGAAGGGACCTCTAGAGATCATCTAATCCAACATCCCTGCTCCAGCAGGGACACCCAGAGCACGTGGCACAGGGTGGCATCCAGGCGGGTTTGGAAGATCTCCAGAGAAGGAGACTCCACAGCCTCTCTGGGCAGCCTGTTCATTTTTCCTCAAATTCGGAACTTCCTGTGCTTCAGTCTGTGGTTCACTCACCCCCAGGCAGAGCTCCATTCATTCCAGTTGCTCTCACACACAGAGTAGCTCCACACCTCACCTTCCTGGCCTGTCTTTCCTAAAAAATCCACAGCCATCCAAGACAGCACCCCAGCCACGTGAGCTGTCCCGCCACGTCTCCGTAACCGCAACGAGATCACGGCTCCGCGACCGCACACCGAACCCTGATTCCTCCTCATTATTCCCCACGCTGTGTGCACAGGCGCTTCAGGGAGCTCATCCAGCCCGCGGGTTTCCCAGGAGAGCTGCCAGAGGACCCCCCGTGATCTCATCTCACGCTCCTCCCCAGGTCTGCACCCTAGCTGGAGGCATCCTTGCTCGCGCTGCGTTACACTGACCGCCCTCTCGCCCCGAGCACATCTCGCCTAGGTTAGAGCCCTCCTAACCAGGCTGGCCACCTGCTGGCAAAGACACGCGTGTCCCACTTACCATGGTGGCCCTCATCTGTCCCTGTTAGCTGTTGGTCTTGAAGAGGGTGCCATGGTCATAGAAACCGAAACGCTGCTGCCAACACCAGCAGCACAGCCAGCTTTTAGCCTGGAATATCCTTCTCCTCACATCCTTCCCTATCACTGAGGAGAAAACAACCTGGGCTCCTGGACCTTTGACCACCATCGCTAGGGCTCTGAAATCCTGTTTGACGGTCTCAAAATAAAAAGTTGGTCTCTGTAAAAATGACCTCAATGTAAAGCCAATTCCACTGTTTCGATAGGGCAAGAGGATTCTGACCTTTGAAAGAAACACAGCTGAGTTTTATTTAATCAAAAATAACCTCAAGGTCAAACAATCCTACAACACACCTGCTGTATTTTACAAATGACGTTTTTAATAAAAAAAAAAACCCATCCATCCAGTTTCTAAGAATTTAGGTCTGAAAGTTGTTCTGGTGATCTTCTGCAATGCCTCAGAAACTTCACCTGCAAATGCTGTGATGCTGACAGGCCCATTTTGGCTAGTAATTTCTCAAGTCACATGTGAAATTTGCTTTTGCTGTTCATTTAGTTTTGGTCACAGGCCCTTAATGTATCTTGTTCCAGTGTGGTCCAAATGATAGCCCAGAGGACAGGGCTAGCTGAGCCCCCGTTTCACTCCTCTTTGCTTTCCAGGGGACACAGGAAAGCTGTTTGAGCAATAAACACACTTGCAGCCAAACTTGCAGCAAGGAACTTCACTGCTGCCACCTAGGGCACGAGAGCGCGGAGGGCAGCGGCTTGAGGGAGCAGCTAGGTATGGAAAATGTGGGTAACCGACTTCTTAGGTGTCTGGTAAAGACAGAGGGAAAGCAGGAGGAAGAAAAAGAAAAGCAGAGGCTCCCCAAAGAAATAAACTTGGTTCCTGAGGTCACCAAAACTGGACTTCACTACACAGAGCCAATAAAAAACTGATCATCTCCAACCCGTTATCTCAGCAGCACTGATACCTGCTTCCTGCTCAGACCTCTCAGAGTTTATGGCATCAGTAACAGCAAAACTGACGCCCTCTCCCATTGTGCTCCGTGCCTCCTCCTGCCTTTGCTGTCCAACCCTCACGTTTCAGGCCTGCTGCCTCAAGCCTCCCTGGCATTCCCTGGTTGCAGCCTGGCTGGGGAGGCTCTCCCTGCTCGGCTGCGGCCACGGGCAGCGCAGCAGAGCACTGGGCAAAGTCAGGCGCCAAGAGCAGAGGCCGAAACGCACCTCACTGGCCACAGGGTGCGGATTTATCTCCAGATTAAGATGGTCACCCAAATGTACACGTCTACAAGCACATCAGGTATCTCAGCTCTCCTTTTAGCCAGATATAGTCACCGCATTTTGGTGAGATGTGAGAACAACTTGGCTTACCCCAGAATAGGTACACGGGGGATTCAACCAGCTGCCTAAACACACATACCTAGAGGCACTTCGGATGGCTTAGGATACCTCACCTGGTTCCCTTCCAGAACATTTTTTTTCCAGAACCTCTGTCAGGCCAGTACAGGCATCTGGGAAACCTGATGGCTTCTCAAATGCTGCCAGGGACTTAGCAAACTGAATTTCCCCACACTGCAGTTGCTCAGGTACATGCTTCTCAACAGCACTGCACTCACTGGGATGGGAGCTTAGACATCTGCACACATCTAATCACAGAGAGCAGCTGACCTGCCTAAACACAGGCATGTGAGATGCCTTGGGATGCGCAAGGCACTTGTGTGGGGCAGGCAGATATCACACAGGACCTGCAGGACACCCACAACCTTCCAAATCTAGGTGTAAAACTGCAGGGCAGCTCAGATGATAGCCTAGACAAGGAGCTGCAGGCAGCTCAACTGAGCCTTAAACATTTTAGCCTGGAGTGAAGCCCCTCCACCCCAGATGCCTAAAATTTAGACTGCAGCTCCCTTTACTGTCAAAGAGGAGAGACATTTTCAAAGGATGAGTCACCTCATTCCCTTTATTGCCACTGACCATAAAAGTAGCGACAGACTCGGATTAAAATACCCTAGACAAAGAGCTGCAGGCAGCTCAACTGAGCCTTAAACATTTTAGTCTGGAGTGAAGCCCCTCCACCCCAGATGCCTAAAATTTAGACTGCAACTCCCTTTACTGTCAAAGAGGAGAGACATTTTCAAAGGATGAGTCACCTCATTCCCTTTATTGCCACTGACCATAAAAGTAGCGACAGACTCGGATTAAAATACCCATCTCACAGAGAGATAAACTGGGACAGGTGACTCCCTCTACTCCTCCCAGCAATACACATAGAAAAGACTCAGTGGAATGAACTGATGCGAAGCATCCATCTTCCAACCTCTGAGTTCAGAGTTTCGAATTACTGTCATATACCAAAACTATTTAGCATTATCAGACTTTGTCAGCTAAATAAAATGTATCTCATTAGACAAATGTTATTCCTGTCAGATGACAGCACAGTTTGCTTCTTCAGGAAGAGCAAAATGTCAGGAGGTCTGATCAGAAAAGAAATGAGAAAAGTTCATTTCACCTGCAAAGAGCAACTAACTTCATAAAAATCCTCTTACATAGATAAAAGAGATATAGGAATGGACAACCTCAGCAAGCAGTTGAGCCACAGTGGGGACTTTTTCCCCTCTTTATAGAGATGATTTCACCCACTTCTTCTGTTTAGATGACAGCAGGCCAATTAACTACCTGGTTTTAGTTTGGTTCTTTTGCATAGAGCAATAGGGAAACGTTGCATAACCTAAGCAAGCAGGGCTGCAAAGTGGTTCCACACTCCCTACTCAGATGCCCATCTCTGTCCAATCCCATTAAAGAAGCAGGTATAAACTAAAATCATGCAGCAACCCCCAAATGCCCTTTTATAGCTGGGACCAGTTTATTTCCCCATGTGACTTTCTTTCCATTCAAGTGAACTACTGCATATTTATATCACATTTCATGTTCATGTGCCCAGTCCTACTACTTACACATACATTAGAGAAACTAATTTTCTAGCAGGACATAAAGCCTTAAAGGCAGTAACAAACAGCCAATGCTGCCTTGAGTTCCTGAAATGAAAAGTTCAATTAATACATGTAAATATTGCTATTAAAGGAATGGTACAGATTGCATTGTCCCATAAAGGACCTTGAGATGGGTAGGCTGATGACAAAGTATCTCTTACATCAGGACCAAAATAATCAAAGACGACAAATAAAGGAAGGAAGAAAGAAAAAGGATCTCTAACACAGCACTGATTAAATATTTACCATAAACTGAACCACATCCTCAGGCTTGTGCTTTGCTGATTTGAAGGCAGCCAGTCGGGTAACGACAACAATGTGATACTCTACGTGGCCAGACATCATCTTCCCACGGACTTCCTGGTAATCCGGCACCGACAAATCCAGGCCCGTGTGAGTATTCTGAATTTGCCTAGGAGGAAAGGACATGCAGAGGTTGGGCACTGATACAAAGACTTTTAACTGATGCTCTCAAAGCATCGAATTCAAAGCTGCAGAAAGTCAGTGCAAAGCCCCTGACACAGTTCCTGTTCTATAAGGCTACAAGTTCGCACAGACATCACGCTCCAGAATACGGAAGAAATTGTGTGTATTGGTTTTGTGCAATTATAGCCTCAATGAACACATTCAGTTTAAGCATGTATTTTACATGTCTTAGCACTTTGGCCATCAAAACTGAAAAACAGACTTAATTTGCTTTTAATCAAGGGCTTAAAAACGGCAGCTCCAAAAACAAGCTCACTGTGAGGCTTTTGTTGGTGATGACGTTTTCAAAGGTACTGAGGCATCGAGAGTGGAACTAAGGGCTGGCAGTCAGGAAGACAGAACAAGGGAAAGGACTTGGCCTGTTTCTTATATTCTATTCCAAAACATCTGCCACTGTGGACAAAACTATGATGGAGAAAATGCCATGAACTCACTGTCTCCAGAAACAGAAAATGGGGTGGTTTTCTTGAAGAAAGGAACAATTCATGATTCTGTACTACCCAGCAGGGCAGAGCAGGAGATCACAGTAACCTCTCTCAATGGCTTCCTATGAAGCAGAGCTCTGTTCACCACAACTCACACCACCCACCTCTCTTTTGTCAGGAGAAATCTGCAGGAACGGCTGGAGAAAGGAGCCAGCTTGGATGCAGGGACAGCTGGAGGCTTGCAAGAGCCAACCTGGGAGCTGGATAAAACCTCAGATGCGGAGAGAAAGGGCATTCCAATATATATGCCCAAATACTCAAAGGCTCCCAGTGCTCTCTGGAGGAGAGCTTGGAAGCGAACGGGATAGGCAAGATGAAAAAAAACGTAAGATAAAGATAAAGACTCCCTCAAAACTTAATTGGGATGATTTTTGTTTCAAGTGTATCCAAGTATTCAAATGACGTTTAAATTATCTACTGAAATCTCATTGAAATTATTACTACTTTAAAAGGAAATAGGAACGGTCAGAGTTCTAGATGGAAAAGACGCTCCATTTGACACCAGTCTCCATCCAAGAATGCCTGCAGTGTCTCCAGTTCTGTGCTCGGAGGAAAAGGAGGCTGACAGTGCCGAGTTGAAGACCTTCTTCCTGCTCTCAGTTAAGCCACCATATACACTGGTAGCTTGCTATAGGATTGGATTTAATATACTATCCGTAAGGAAAGAGAATAAGATTGCCCCCTACCTGATCTACCTACTGTAAGTACTGACCACACTACCAAGGGCCTTGCAGATCTTAAGAGTATTAGTGTTAGTGGTCTTAGTGTTACTTGCACTTTACAGGTGGGAACGGAGGGCACAGTCACGATGCTACTGCATGTAATGGACACCATATAGATGCTCAAGCTAAAAAAAATTGAATAACACAAAGCACGATCCTGCACTGAGGTACTGTCTTGGTTCCAAAAGCAGGACAAACACTGCACATCCTGGCACACAACAATTCTGAGAGGTGTAACACAGGGTGGTTTAGGTTGCAGCAGGGGAAAGGAAGCAAGGAAGAGGGAATGGTTGGGAGTGTGTTTGCTTCATCACGCACTTAGAGATGCATTCAGAGAATATTTAATGCTCCGGATGATAAACTTCTTCCTACTCCTGCAAGGTACCACAGATCTACACCCACCTCCAGCTTCCCAGGGACTGGCTGTAGAAAGTTAAAACATACTCTTTTCTGTCCGCTTTAAAAGGCTGTAAGAGGTACACGAAGAGCTGCTCCTCCATGAGAGACCCAGTGTGTTTTCTTCTCCTGCCACTTTTACATTCACTGAGTTGTGCATTCACCTCCCCTCTGGGTTCCTACCCAAGGAATTAGCGGTGGCACTCCTGGGAGAGGAATGCCAAGACGGTATCATATGATTTACGCGCCAAGGGTATGAATGAGCAGATGTTTTTGTGGCAGAAGAGAACAATATGTCTACCAAAATAAACTGTTTCAGTGCGCTGGAAACCAAACCCGATTAGTGATGTTTTCCCCAGAGTTATGACCGTGCCAAACCACAGCCCCTCTACCTGCGCTCTTAGGGAGGCCAAATACTCTCCCAGAAGTAGGAAGAAGTTTATCATCCGGAGCATTAAATATTCTCTGAATGCATCTCTAAGTGCTTCCTTCCTATATGTGAATGAACAGTTTTTAATGAAATCAGAAGGCGCTGTTGAAAAATCAGTTTCCTTTTCATTAAACGTTTCTTTTCTGCTTATATTTTTTTTAAATCTTTGAGTTATTAGGAATGTCAAATCCCTCCTTCCCTGGACTTTCTGTGGATCACAGAGGCACCTTTTGGAATTCTCACATCTTCCTTAAGACATTTACAATCATTAGCAAAGAATTCCTTTCACCTTTGGGTACATTAGGCCTATGGGCTTGAAATAAACTCTAAAGAGGTTTTTAAAAATGCAGTTTCAAAGAAAGTTTCAAAATACATTTCTCATCATGTCAAAACTCGACAAGTTCTTTTGAAACTTGAGTTTTCCCAAGAAGGCAACCTCTGATTCTTCAATAAAAAACTAATTAAGCATTACTTTAACAGAATATCTAGAGAGTTCTCAATAAATCAAATGGCAACAATCAAGGGCACAGGCCCAATTTTTTACCCAATCCTCTTTGCAAACCATGTTTAAAACATTAGAGCTCTAACAATAGCTTCACTGTCACCAAGATTTTATACTAGGTATGTACACGTCACTCTGTCTTGCTCAACTTCTGCTCTCATTTTCTGGACAATCAGGGACTTATCTTTGCACTAACAGAGCAAATTTTGTTCCCAGTTACACACGCTGCCAGGACAGAAAAGCAGACTCAATAGCATATATGTACAAATACATTAGTATCTTTAAAAAATATAGGCAATACGGCCTGTGTTTTGCACAAGGGCCTGTTGAACCCTGAAGTAAGTGACAGTCGTGTCCTTCAGCAGCAGCCAAAGTGCAGGCTAAAAGGACAGCTGCCAGCAAGATAGCTGGATGTGGGGTCATTTGGGATGTATCTATAGCAGCAAAAATGCCCTCCAGATGTTTAGTCACTCAAAAGTTGTGACTGCAGCTATGACAGTCAGTGAACAAGTGTGTCAGCTGGCAGTCGGGAGCGACTGTCATTCCTGTTAATGCAGCTGTAGGCAGGGTGTAAGTACAAATTCTTCTGCTTTTCACCTCTGAGATAAAAAATAAAATGAAATGAAATGAAATGAAATGAAATGAAATGAAATGAAATGAAATGAAATGAAATGAAATGAAATGAAATATAAAATAAAATAAAATAAAATCACCAGCAAGACATCCTTTCTGGCCTCCCAATTCCACATGAAGATTATTTGCTATATAATATGTAATAGCTGATTATTAGAAGAAATGAGGCAACTTAACAGCCTCATTTAGCTTAAAGCATCCAGCAGGTTCAAACATACCAAGACCATCTAACTTTAAGTGCCGCTGTATCAGAGTCCTAAAAATGTCACGAAGTTAAGAGCCTTACCTATGCCACTGCTTTTTATTTTTAAATTGTTAAGTTTCAGCCAAAATGTCTGCACTGGGAAAGCTGCAGAAGGAGAAGGAATAGCCATATTTTTGTTTATTTATTTGCCATATGCCTCCTGATGGGTTTCAGCCTCATTTCCTTCACATCACATCTATCACTCCCATCTCTGCCACTGCTACAGGACTATGATTTTATTATTCCTTAATAGGAAATTATGATTCTAAACCAAGAAAAATCAGCAAGGAAGCTCAGACAAATAATATCCAAGGCACGCTCCGGTTCTTGCAGTGCTTCAGCTACCAAATAAGCAACACCCCAGAGTGTTTCTTTCTACCCTATAACTGCCATTACCAAACGGAAGCAGCAGCTACAAATGCCAAATCAGTGTCGTTTGCTCCATTTTTCGCAGCATGCACAATCTCCCTACATTTGTAGCTTAAAAAAAAAAGAGAGAGAGAAAGCTGGCTATAGATACTGGACACATAGGTTTATTGCTTCAACTCCTTATTTAATTCCATTTCATGTATCTCTAAGGTACACTCCGAGGTTCAAGGGACACTAAAGCACGTGTCCTCCTTCAGTTGCTTCACCTGAACATGGCAAGGCCGTTCACAGGAGCTCTGCTGAAACACCAACACCTCTGCACTACCAGCTCCTGCAGGACCAGCACAGCAAAGAGGAGGCAGGTTACGCACAGCTCAGCTGAACGGACCCGTTTCCACACTCCATGGAAGACTCTCAGGTTTTCATCCTGTCTTTTGAGTTGCATAACGTGGGGCCTTTCTGCACTTGAATCAAGGTGCTTTCTGTACTGACTGGTCAAGACAGCAACGAGTGCTAAGAGGGAAAAGAAAATTATGGATGTACATGCAGTGACCAGAGAAACTACTACAGGGTTGCGTGTGCATGGAAAACAGTCATTCAACTTCCCAACACAACTGTACAGTTATTTTGTCTCACAAACTAAAAAAAAAAAATCAATGCACTTGCCAAAGCCTTTCACCTGCAGACATACATACATCTAATTTTATCCCTGCATTGCTGGCAAGATAGTTTTCCAGGGGCAAAGTTTTCCAGCTGAAAAGTAAAACGGAGATTTCCAGGGGGAGAACCTAGCATGAAGTAGCTCCAAAAAGTGCAGACGTGAGTTAGGCTGGGAGCGTTTGAAGGCTCAGGGCGAAGCTTCCAAGGGCCCTGCACAGCACGGAGCACCCTGGATGGGAGCAGCTGCTCTGAGGCCACGGGAACGACAACGCGACGGGAGCAGGTTGGCTCCACTCACGTCCCAGGAGTCGGGAACGCGACTCGAGACCGCGTGATCCAGCGTTACAGTTGCTCACGTTAAGACCAACGGGGATCATGTGGTCTCAAACAACTCCAGGAAAAAATAAATAAATAAGTCACTCACTTCCCTATAAAAGCCACAAGCGCTGGTCGCTCACGTTAAGACCAACGGGGATCACGTGGTCTC